TGCTGCTTCTCTGTTTTAAACGTTCTCTGGCACTAGCTTTATTGTCTATCGTTTTGTAATTCATTTTGGGGTTGCTGTGTTGTTTCATTCCAATACATTCTTTTTTTTAGTTTTTGTATTTGCCGCGGTATATCTCCTGTTTTGTTTTTAAATTAGTCAACTAATTCCATAGTTTATTTGTGTGGTGTACAAATAATTACAAAGATTATTAGAAAATGGACGGGACCCCCAGGCTAAAGAAAAGGGTATCACTAACATTGGCACGGCATCATAGAAGAGATGGTATGCTATTCCTGGCTGTGTAAATAAAGTTTGATAATAATGTCCTTGTTTTTTTATTAATGAGTTACTAACAAATCTTTTACTTCATATTAGCCTCACCTCATATCCTGCACGAAAAAGTGCGTTCGAAAATAATATCCAATGTCAACAATATTGATGAAAATGACGAATACAATACGCCTAAATCCCCGTCAGAAACGTCGTTAAGTACCGATGTCGGAATTGAATGTACGCCACCTCACAAAAAAATTAATTTAGATGAAAGCGTTGATTACTCTCCTAAATGCTTTGATACTAGCTATTCGCCTACTTGCTTGCTTTCACAGACACTGTCGTCGAACAGCCCAGAAGTCGGCTGGAAGTGGGGAAAACGTTCTGTGGACGAACAACTAGAAACGGCTGTAACTCCGGACTCAGCTTATGCTGCAGATAGTAGTTTGACATCAGCAGGCTCAAGCAGCACAGAAGTAATAAATTCTGTTGGGCGCATACGAAGTGAATCACATGTTCAGCCTTTCGCTTATGAAATGCGACGCGAGGAGCAACGTCGTAGACTGGAGATTCAAATGCGAAGGGCTGAAAAATTACGTGCAGATGAATTGCTTAAGCAGCGTTGTGCGAGACTCGAAGAGCAACTACATGAAGCTGAGAAACGCCGTAGAGAAGGCATGGAAAAGAAAATAGATTCTGAAATTCAATCGCAATCCCAAAATGTAGAAATTTTGGAATCTTTCCCTAAACTGTTACAGACTGAAGAGGCTGTTGTGGAAGATATATTTACGAACAAAAATGACACCTTAGATGACTTCCTTAATGATTCCAATGACGATGGTATAATGCTTATAGCTAGCCAACAAGTAGAATCAAATATAGTAGATATAACACAGAAATCTTCAATAGAAGTTCTTAAATCAGCAGAGAACTCATATAATTCGACAAAGAAAGAGAATAGTTCCGAGTCAGAAACATCAAGATTGTCAAAAGAGACTATTGCTCCAGAGCGCCAAGATAAACGTTCATCACAGTACATGAAGTTCCTTGAAGATGATGATTTGTTTCTTTCAATCGACGAAGTAATTTTGCAGGATACACAACAGGCGAAAAAACCACGCAACAACTTTCAACGTCACAACTCCATGCCTATTAATACTTCGGCTATTGGCAGTGCCAAAGCAGCCGAAATAAAACCCACGGTATCAACATCTAAATCGAATGAAATTATGTCCACTGCGTCAACTACCAACACGGTTTATTCGTTAAAAATGAAACGGCATGCTAGTTCGCATGCGCTCAGTCTCTCGTCAGGTGCGGTATACAGTTGTAAGTATAGATTTCGGTAAAATATGTACATTTAAAATATAAACCTTACTCAATAAAGGTACTACAACAGATTTTCAAAGTACATTAGTAATAAGTACATTCGTACATAAATGAAAATTAAGCTAATGATTTAATTACATCACCTGACGCATATTTTAGTTGAATATCATTGTGAAAGGTATATTTTATTTCATTATAACCAATTTAATATTTGTGGTCTATTTTGAAAGAAGCACCGCGCTAATAAAATTCTCCATAAAACAAGTATACATCACTTTCCAATAGTACATCGTACGATATACGGAAACATTTTTTTTTAAGCTAAATAACGGTAAATTGAAAATATTTCGAAAACTTATCCATAGAAGAAAAAGTTAACTAAATTATAAATAAAGCAGTTCTATATAGAAATTGGATAGTGGCAACCATTGAACAGTTTTGCTGTAAATCAGTGTTATTTATAAAATTTAAAAGGCCATACAGACGCAACCTACTGAAATTTTGGCCTGCAAAGTTTGGGACTTATTCCTTTTATTAGGATGTCACTACCTCTGAGTCTTTTGAGTTTTTTGAATTATCATTCTTAAGTGAAAAAAGAAAACTCAACAATGATTATTATCTTTTAGCGAAAAAAAACTCAAATGTTAATTATTATTTTTAATCTTTATTGATTAAACTCGAAAAATAAAAATCATTGTAAATTACAGTAGGGCGAACGAACACAAATACCAGATAGTTAAAATTATTTTACGAAGATTACAACTTGTTGATTTTTTGGTTAAAATTTTATAAAATAATGATTATTTTAATGAAAATTTTAACATTTAAACAGCCAGGAAAAATTAAAAAAAAATTGCTTACTTCTAAGCGAAACGGCAACGCTGGACACAGCTGCAAATTATAAAATAAGAACAAGTATCTTAACGTCGCTTGAACGAAACTATTTGAATTTACAGAAACCAGAATGAATTCGACCATCGAGCAAAATACATTGATTTTTATACCCGAGCGCACTTGTGCACAAGGGTATTAGAACTCTGTTCACATAACGGTTGTTTGTAACAGGCAAAACCAATCGAGATAGATATAGACAAATGTATACATAAATCATGATTCAATAATACAAGGTTCGATAAACTGACAGTTGTCTCTCTCGCACCGCTCCCTTAGCAGTGGCACCGTGTTGCTTCATTGCAAATTTACATGGAAACAGTGTAGCTTTGGTGTGAAATAAAAGTATACGATTTTGTGCAATATGTTTATTTGTATATGCATATGAAGCATATTTAACTGATAAAAAGATAAGCATTGGATATTTACATCAATCTCATAGTAGTCTTATTTTAATTTTGAGTCATTTTGCAGTTTTTATACAGCTAAATAGCATATAAATTACGTAATTCACGTAGATAAATCAATATTACATCCAACATTTCGTTTAAAATGCCAGATTTCCTGCAAATACATTAGAATTTACAAAAGGAATTTCACTACTAATTGCCTACTTTGCGTACTTTTCTACTACCATTTTCGCAACAAGGGATTGCATTCTTGCCCTTTCTCTGTCCTTCGTAAATGCAACCTTTTGTAAGGGAGTGTCAAACCGCAGCTGTCAATAATTATCTAACCTTGTATTATTGAATCATGTACATAAATGATCAGAATGAAAAGAGAAATCGATTAAGCGGTGACTGTCTGTCCGTCCGTCCGTCCGTCTGTGCACACGATAACTCGAGTAAAAATTGAGATATCTTAACGAAACTTGGTATGTGCATTTCTTTCGGGCGTAGGACGGATGGTATTGAAAATGGGCGATATCGGACAATAACCACGCCTACCTCCCATATAACGGTAATTTTTAAAAATACGAAAACTGCGATATTCTAGTAACTACTGAAGATTATTCACTCAAAATTGATATTTGCAATAATTTTTAGACGAAAAATAAGAATATTATAAATTTTTGGAAAATGGGCGTAGCCACGCCCACTTATGGATACATGTGCATATCTTGGTAACCGCTGCACCAATTTTTTCCAAACTTGGCACAGTTGTTAGCCTTGCTAAAGCATACCAAATGGCCGAAAATTTCTAAAATCGAACAATAACCACGCCTACCTCCCATATAACGGTAATTTGGAGAAATACGAAATCTTCGATAAATCAATAAATATTAAAGATAATTTACTCAAAATTGATGCTTGCAACAATTCTTTACCAAGAAATACGTTTATGATAAAATTTTGGAAAATGGGCGTGGCACCGCCCACTTATGATCACATACATATATGTATCTCGGTAACCGTCCTACCAATTTGTACCAAACTCGGTATGGTTATTGTGCTTGCCACATAGAAGCAAAACGTTGAAAATTATTGGAATCAGATTCAAATTATGACCACTTTTCATATAACGGCAAATTTCAGAAATGCTTGAAACTTCAATATTTCGAAATTTAAGGACGCTAATTTACTCAAAATTTATACACACCGGCTTACCATGTAGTGGTAGCTTTCGCAAAGGTGAAAATCATATACTTAGTACCTGCGCCGGGTATTTAACGTTCGGCTCTGCCCGAACTTAGACTTTCTTACTTGTTATTAATTGTAATCGGCCTCCCTACAATATAAGTTTTCATACATACAAAGTCCATTAAATACTCCAATAAAAATTTGGTGGTTTTTTGAGAGAAAAAACGCGATTTTTCTGGGTTTTTAGTGGTTTTTCAAATTGAAAACTTGGCAACACTGGCGTCGTCGGTGAGTCTGGTCGCGCCGGTGAGTGGCGCTCAGATAATGTCGGTGAACGGCGCTCTGTTGTCGTAGGTAAGTGGCATCGGTGCAGTGTGACCACTTTGTGAGTAATTCCTCACAACGTGAGGAATTTAGGGTGCGCGTGAGTATTTTTTGAGGATCTTTATTTTGAAGAATTTTCTCTCCATATATTTGCAGACAACAAATGCAACCATGTTTTACACAAAAGAGTTGTTAAATCGATCTGCAAATTTTTGAACAAAAAGCTTTCCGGAGTTTTATAAAGAGCGAAATACACCACACAAGCGGCTTGTCAAACATTCTTCACACCTACTTTTCCCATTTCGCCATACACCATGCAAACATGACTCCTTCAAGTAAAGAATTTTAGTTTTCTTCCAGTTCACAATGTAAAAGAATTTGGTTTTCTTCAAGTTTTCTCTCTTGCGTCCTCATTCGGTTAAAATTACGGCGCGAATGAGGCGATTTTACCATACACAACGTAAGCGGTTTGATCAAACGTCAACATGGCGGCCAGAAAATCGAAAAAATTTAATCGAGTTAATTTTTTTTTCTATGGATATGTTTTCGAGATATTTGCAATTTACCGCTATTCAGGTTAAAACAAAAAGTGGTTCCACTTAATCACGTATATTTTACGAAAATCAAATCAAAGCTAATAAAATTCTCCATAAACTATATAAACATCAGTTTCATATAGGACTGATGGTTTCTGACAATTTAATTAATCATTACAGCTTTTTTTAATTTTTAATCAAAAAATGAAAAAAAA